TCCATCACAGGGACACCTGGACAGGTCTCCAGTCCATCACAGGGACAAACGAGACAAACAACCATTCACTCTCTTTCTCTCACTTAGGAACAATTTAGCTCTGAGGCTCACAGAACATTCTTCTCCATAACACCTAAAAGCACAAGAATTACATGGTCACCAGAATCAGCAGCTAAAATAATTTCATTAAAAACTTTTTAAATAGCTGATCCAGTTATGTAAAGTTTTTAAAACCCAAATCAGCAAACCTCAAGAATATCATGCGCCTCAAGAAAGGTGATTCATTTACTGTAATATTTTCTGAAGTGCTTTTAATGTAACAGAAAGTTTAGACCTCACCCACCACCTAACCAGTCGTAGCAACTCTTCGTTCTGGACAATAAAAGAAGTCTGATGTATCGATGAGTCCAATGGTTGTTAAACCTTTGTCTGTTTTTGTGTCCAGCTGTCTGTCCATCAGAGAGTCTTCAACATCGCTAATGAGCTGCTGCACACTGAGACTGCCTACGTGTCGAAGCTCCACCTACTGGACCAGGTGAGTCGTGAGGATCTGTCAGCCAACAGCAAGATCTCCAAGTTTCATCAGTCTGTGGTTGTCATGGACACCATAGAGTTAAAAACGTTAATGACAGACGCCACCTGGTTCTCCTGGACATTTTGCAGGTTTTCTGTGCCAGACTGCTAGATGAAGCTCGGTCTCGCTACACCTTCCCCTGTGATGTTGTTCAGAGAATCTTCTCCAACATCTGCTCCATCTACTGTTTCCACCAGCAGTTCTTGCTGCCAGCACTGCAGAAACGCATGGAGGAGTGGTGAGAACCTTCATCTCCTCTACCTCCCCATCTAAAGGACCTACAAACCCTTTCCAAAAAATTAGAATATCATGGAAAAGTTGTTTATCTTCCATAATTCCATTCAAAACGTTAATCTTTAATAGTTGATAGATTCAGGGCCCACAAATTAAACAATTTCAAGTATTTATTTGTTTATGTTTACATAATTTGGGCTTCCAGCTCATGAAACCCACAAAAACAGGATTTCAATAAATTAGAATACTGTGGAGACATCAGTCCACACTACTCAGTTTTTACAGAAAAAAATAAATAAATTAGGATCACAACAAATCAATCAAAATATGGTTCTTTCAAATCAATGTGTCAATCTTCAATAGTTGGTTGTGAATCCCTTTGTCTTAATCTCTGCCTCCATGTGACATTGAGACAGTCAGCCTGTGGCATTGACTGGGAGTTATGGAATTGAGACAATCAGCCTGTGGCACTGACTG